TTACTTGTTTTATCTATTGCTATCAGTTACCTTTATAACTTTTCACCAATATTTTCTGGCAAGTAATCAGATGTTGGATTTTCAGTTTTGAAATTTTCTGATAATTTGTTGAACGCGATTTTATTTATAAAATGTCGAATTGTTTAATATGTGGCTAAGAATCAGTGACAGTGGCTTGGATGTATTACTGTTTCCTTTAACATACTCCCTTATTTTAAAGATTGAGTTCTACTTTCTATTATTATTTTGCCATTGCCATTAGTACTATTATTCACACTCGCTTGTTTTTCTTACTGAGATAGTCTAAGTATGTGGATTTAGACCGATACAGATTTGTATCAGGTCCTGGGTTGTTGTTGATTGACTAACCAGTTGAATTTACGGATGGAGGATCCAGCTAGAGGAGTCGGAAAATCCTGATTCCAAACCAGTGGTGAACATAGGCTCCAGTATCCTGAGGGAGTAAAAGGCATATAAACCTATTGTTGGTCACCAGGTACCATGAAACTGCATCTCCTAACGTTCCTCCATTGCCTTATAGAATAAACCTTTAGATGAAAGTCTCGGGGAGTAGTCCTCTAAGAAAACCACCTATTTCGGTTCGGGCTCCTGGACAGTATTCCAGCCCTCACAGAAATCGAATGATCTGTGTGGTGCATATATATTTGGTGCCTCCTTGTACCAATGTTTACGTGTTTAAATAAATAGATAAATGACTTTAAAGAGGGGAAATAATTAATCCGTTAGGGTTGCAAAATTCTGAATTCGATAATTGGCTCGGGCATTTACTACATACGTTGTCTACTCTGATGTGTTATATTGTTAGGAGTTCAAGTAAGTTAAAGAAAGGTTAAATGTTGGAATAACGGAAAACGATACAAATCCACATTTCATTTAATGTTGATATGACATGTGTAGAGAAATGTACGTCTTTTGTTTGATTTTCATAAGATGTTAGTTATCAGTAATTGGAGACTAAAAGAAATTACTCAAAGTCTAGTACACTGATGTAGATGTTTTCATTCTTTATATTCTTCTAAATAATGTACACGTTATTCCGTTTACATTTCTTTTTTCACCTGCTTTTACTGATCTTCTGAACACTCAAACAATTCGTAAAAGGGATACAAGATTATGGAAATTAAAATGACTAAACTTCAGTTAGTCAGGTACAACATAGGATCAGGCACATATATGCATCGGTTCAAATTGCCACACCTCATCAGCACAACTACACTTTAAAAAACTAGTAAATATCTAACTGGAATCCTGTGGGGCATCTATCAACTTTTCTTTGTCTGAGTTTACTTCATGTTAAAGAGATTTCACTAATACAAAGTGTTTAGTCTTCGATTTTGAATTTCTCTTTATCTGGAATCATTTTTTAAAAGGTTCATTTGTTTAATTCAAATTTTAAGTTGGCAGTTGTTTCACATTATTAACATTTTGGTCAAAATGGTTACTGAAGTTCTTGTGATTGCCGAAGATCTTGAGACATTTCCCACAGTATAAATGATTTACAATGAACCAATTTTTCTGAAGTAAACTGCAAGAATTTACAATTGTAGATTTCTTAGTTTGTCATTAAATGTGGTTGCTCATTTCTTATTTTAAGTAGTTTGGCGACATTATCTATTGATTCGCCAGATATTTCTCCTGCTTCGAGAGAATAATTTTCGAACTTTATATGTTCCCAGTTTTTTACGAACTTCGTCAAACACTATTCAGGAGAATAAGGAAACAAGGTGCATACTTTCCCTAACAGATTTCTGTGCAGTTGAAAAGCACTAAAGTGGCATTATTTATCTATAGTTGATGAAATTTTTTATCTTCACCTAAATCGTGTTTGAGTAAATGGTGTTTGACGATCATTTTTACTATTCGTGACTTTACGGTGTAAGTCAGTAACCGGGTTTTGGAACTATAAGTCCAAGTTTTAAATTCTGGCTTCATCTATGGTCAATATTGTATATATGAGTTCCGTTCAATGGTTAAAGTATAATTCCTGCCTAAGTTATTGCATATCTTATTTCTTTTTTCCACTATCAAGAGCGTTATTATGGAAGTAGAGGACTATAGACAATTGCTCAATACGTTTCTTACTGCTCCTATGCAAACAGTGGGAATGATGCATCTATTTAATCTTAGTGATGTCCACGAATCTATCAGTCGTATTTGGCGTGAACTATTTAGCTGTACAGGTATATATAATATAATACGCCCGTTTTTTTCAAATATTATGACATCATTTAAATTCTATTTGGAAGTCCTGCTTGTTTTGTGCTCGTAAAAACGTCAAGGGTTTGGAAGCTCTTTTCTAGTTTCTTACTTCACCCCATCTACCTTTAATATACCATTCATGTCCTTTCGTACATGTTCAATATTTTATGGAAAGACAGTGTACATAGATTGTGTTTCGTTTAGCTGCTTTTAAAATATTCGATATATCCAAGTTTGTTTTTACCGTAATATGGGAGACTTGATTGCGTAACCAAGATATATTGTTTGGAAAGTTGTTTCTTTAGGTCCTAAAATAGAAGGAAGGTTGAAGGTAGGGCCAAAAATGATGAGTCTCAGGTTCAAAAGTGGATTTTATACTTCGAACCGTATCACATAATCTGGGGAGTAAGATATTTCCTAAGGATTATCTCTAGTTCTATTTTCATATGGAATCTAGAGAGAATCATCTGTCTTATGTTTAGGAGTAATAAGGTCAAGGAAAAAACTAAGGAAATTCTAAAGCTCATCATGCAAAGTAGTTCAGAATTTCCGATAGTCTGTGTGCAAACACCCTCAAGCGCGTATCCCTTGGGCTGTATAGTCACACTCTTATCAATAAGACTATTAGGTTTTCCAGAACAAAACAACTTAGTGTTGGTTGCTGATGAGTGTCGAATACTGATCTGTCAACAATAATCGATTTTATCCTATTTATCAGCAACCATCTTCTTTGTTAGCCCCTAAATTTCCTTTCTATTCATTACCATATACTGCCTCTGAATATAACTGTCTGTAAGTTGAGGATCAATATCTACGGTCGCTTGAAACAACCATTCAAATTACGCGTTGAGGCGTTTGGAACTTACGTCAAACCGGATTACAGGTCTCACTTCCCGAAACTCCAGAATCCTATATCATGGGTGCACATTATGTTTTCAAAATGGATATAAGTATCAGACATGATTGTTTTTGACGTTGTCCTGCAATATAGCAAGTCCTCACTTTAATAAAGATTATTCTAGTTTGCGAGTGGTAGTAGGTAGCGGAAGTAAAAATATGAAAACTGCCTAAAATAGATGTTAACAGACGGTTGTCTAACACCGATAAGGTGTTTTCGAAAACGGCGGTGACTATTTCCGTGAAAAATAGACCAGTGCTATACTAAGTGGAGTCCATTGAAGTGTGTTAGTTTATGTGTTAATCAACTACCCTCGATAACCTAAGTAAGTTGTTTAAGGATAGTGATCTTGAAGTATCAGCTAAAGCTTTGGGATTAGATGGAATTTCTTCGGTTGATCTTGTCCCAGCTTATAGAAAAAAAAGTTCTTTGGTGATAACCATTTAGTAAAATCATTTGCATGAACATCTTTTTGAAGGTCCAAGGTTTAAGAATCATCTAACTCATATTTTCTGCTTTAGAACAATTTTATGGAAATAAGTGTGTTAAATAGGTTTTTACCTTTCGTTTGGCTTTGGGACACATACATGACTATAACTGGATTCCTTGACATAGAGGGGATATTTCATGGAGTCTGTCGAAAGGTCTTGTGAAATTATCTGTTACTTGAAAACTTCAAGTGCATCACATGATTAAAGACTATGCAAAAACCTTGAAATTACTATCAGAGTATATATATAGATATATATAATCAACTTTTAGCTTTTAATACCTACCTTACGGATCTAATTTAGGATTTTAACAGTTTGTATGTCATTTGATCCAAGTGGCAAGCTTCATATCAATGTCTGTTCGTCCACCTCATGCAGCTGACACGATTGATTTAGGTAGTCAATAGAAGCGCATAAAAGTAATGCACTGACGTAGTTTCATAACCACACCAAATAGATAGCTGGGCTTGAAATGATACGCCTAATCTGTAAGTTACATTTTGTTTGCGTTCGTCACAGTTCTCCCCTAAACCCTATAAATCATGAGGTCTACTTCATATAATTTACTTTTAATTACTACATGGTGCTAGTGTGTAATTGTCTTACTATGTCCAAGAGGATAGACTTCGAAATGTAGTTTGTTGAATTCATTAAGATAGTCTCTATTGAACTAAAAATCGTAGTTTTTTGTGCAAATCTTATTAGAGAAAATTTATTTTTTTTATATTCAGATCCTAATGAGGCTCACACAATGTTATCCACTGTGATCCATGTTTATAAAAAGCATAACTTAGATATACCAACTGTTGAAGATATACCTTTAACCCGTCTACCTACCGAATCGAGAAACAATGCAAAATCTGCATACCTAAAGTATAAGTTAGACTTCACATTTTCAAGTAATAGAGACAACAATATTGAGATCTTACAGTACAATGGAAAGGTGTTGGATAATCCTCTAAGTTATGAAGAATACTCGAAGTTGTTTGATGTAATTAAAAAAGTTGTAGATTTAACCGATCTCTTCCTGGAGACTTCGAAATTATATGTCAAGATACTTTTCTTTCTTCACAAGAAAATAGAGCTTAGTCAGAATATAGAAACCCGACTGAAACAAACGTTTTCCAATATACTTACAGATTCAAATGTCAATGTTGTTGTGATACAAGGTGGTAATCGTATTATGAAAGATAAATATAATCAAGATGCTGCAGATCAATGGGATCGCGATCTTTTGCCATCTCTTAAACAACGGGAGATCATAGAGATTATGCAAAAAGTCGTAACTAACTTAGATCCAGAAATATCGGACGAAGTGGATATAGTTGAAAAAACAGAAAATCAAGGAGGTTTATCTACGTATTACATTATGGTGAGTTCATAAATATATAATTGGATACAAAATTATTTAGATTCCATTTTACACATTGAGTTATACATATTCATTCAAATGCTTAGTAATTTTAAAGTAGACAATAATAAGTAGTTAAAGTAGATGAACCCTATGTATCGATGTATGTAGAGACTGAACACTAAACAGTTAATGTTAGCATTTGATAATGTCAGCGGGGTCAAGTCTATGTGTTTAACATTCCACTTGCGTTATTGCTAGTCACATAATGCAGCTTTATCGCAAAAGTTGTAGTCTGATTTTTATATTAGTTTTTTATAATTGGGTGGTTTTATTGAGTTCGTATATACATTCTCTAATATTTATGTTTTATAGCCTGGTGGACCTAGAAAGAAGGAAGAAAAACGCGTCAGGAAACTTGAACAAAATTATCACTTTACTTTCCACTGAATAGAAGAAATATAGTAACATTGGTTTATGGCATAAAATTGTATTTCATCAGTAATCTTTTAGTCACCTGCACTCTTTCATTCTATTTTTCTCAATATCTGTTTTTCTGCATAATCTGTAATAATATACTTCGGAATATGTTAATATTTACATCTGTCGAGTCAGTTTTTTAAACTATGTGCTACTGTTGCTGCTAACACAATATTTTTGTCAGTTAATCTGAGTGTGGTTTTATATTCACTTATTTTCTTTAAAAAATTGTTTTATTTTCTTTGTCATACAAATTCGTTCTTCCTCCTTAATGACCTTGTCATATTCGTCTCAGTTTCTTTCTCAAGCTCGTCAATCATCACAACTCTTAATTGGCCATTTTCTTCAAGTGATATGTTCCTATTGGTGTATCTATCATCTATGTGTGTAAATATGTACTATCTCTGAAATGTTCAGTTCAATGCCCTTTTCTAAGAACTATTTTTTTTGTTTGAAAACTTAATCAGTATACCGTTCAAAACATTGTATTTCTCAATCGAGTAATAAAGTAAATTTCCATATCTAATCAGATTCATTTAATTTTTCACTAAGCAGCAACTAGTATTCCTGGGGATTCAACCATCGTCCACTTCTGCACTCCGGTGTGATTTACAGACTCGTGAAGCTTATTTTCGTATATGGTTTATCGTCGTCACGTAATATATTTTCTACAATTCCATTATTTAGAATTATCGTTCCCACTAACTGAGGAGTCACTATCAATAAACCACTCTGGATTCTTTACAAACATTCTTAATCAGAACGTCAATATGTGATGGAATGAGACGGATTCATTGGACTCGTTTCAAATACGTTAAGAGATCAATCTATTCGAACCCCATGCTACTATCAAGATGGGACGTTTGTGATTATTAAATCTTCCCTACCAAGAAACAGAATACAAAGATCAATTAGGTCCTGATAAGACCAATGACGGAATACTAAAAGTTCTAACAACAGGAAATATCTGTTAAATAAACAGTATCTATCCTAACCTAATAACATAGTGGTTATGGTTTGGTGTATAAAGTGATATTATAAGTTTCAGTTAACATATTTAAAAACTGCTGATAAGATCTGAAATTACAACTGAGTTAATGATATGGATTAATATTTACCAGTAATTTGGAGTCAAAGAAGACTTAATTAGCGGAGTAGTAATGATATGTGTAATCGAGATAATATTTTGAGCCTGTATTACATTGACCGATGGATAGGAAAACACGTTTGTTCTCAATATTATGTGTTCTTATCTCCAGATACTTCCAAGTCTGACGTCGGTTATTCAGTTTTAATTTGAAAATCGTCCTAAATGTCGGTTTAATACGATCAATTGATCATTACCTTCGAAACCGAACGAGTCAACGTTGATTGATTACTGACTTAAATAATCAGACTGAAAAGGAAGTTAGCCTACATTAAAGGCTGGGGTCAATTGGATAATCACTGAAAACGAGGAAGTACTGGACAAATATTTTATTCTCATTTGAGGCTTTTCTGAAGTGATTTAGTAATTTACTACTTTTTAAATATTGACTTATTTCACTATACACTTACAAAATTGATCTTTATTAGAAATGACAGATTTAAAAGCAAAAATTTCAGGGGTTTCTTTATGCTAACTCGGGTTTACTAGATTCCTTTATTGTTTGGGTACTGTACCTGAAATGAATGTTGCTCATAAGTTTGAGTAGAATCTTAAATTCAATTTTTAAGTAAATTTCTAGTTGCCTAGCCTTAGTAATCAAGGAGATGGATTTATGATTGGAAGCTTATGGTGTATTCAACACCAAGCAATAGGTCTTTCGCTTGTGTGGGGTTTTAGTAACACCAGTTCACATTATCGGAAGAACAAATCAGACTGACAATCAATCATTTGGTTTAGCCGAACAGCACATAAACGACTGTTAACGGGGATCCACTCTAACAGTGCTTGTTCTGCCCTCATGCTTAGTGCTATCCCTACTCCTGCCAGTCCACGAGAGCTGGCCGTCGGGTCTCCGTTTTGTCGTGGTGAGGTCAAGTGAATGACCACACTGGGATCCTGTATGCGTGTTTCAGAGACACAGCATACATCAATGGTACGAGATTCTAGGGTTCTAGCCAAGGAAGTCTGTTGACCGATTTGACATAGGGTTCGTACGTTGAAGGCTCCAATGTGTAGTTTGGAGCGAGGTTTCAGTATCCCTGGGACAGTGTTTTGCGCACTAGAATCGTTGGCCATGGAGACACTTGAGGAGGAAGCCAAAAGAGGAAGGTCGTGTTATATCCTAGTGAAGATTAAATTACAGGTAACTTTCAAGGACTATTAATGGACTAATATTCTATAAATATTCTTATTCAACAATTACATTATGTATATTTATATTCCTCTTATTACAAGCTTTATTTTGACCTTTAATTCATTATTGTACGGTTTACGGTTCTTAAGTTATGTTCAGTTTATTAACTACTGCCCCCCACATTCACAGCCACTTTTTGGGCTTATTTGTGTACAATATTATTTCCTATTTTATGGTACGTTGCGGTTTGTCTGATTGATATATAAACCAAGTATGTCTGAAATAAATGATCTGCTCTGATTCGGAAGCTGGTATTGTGTTCTGTACTCAAGTGGAAGGGCTCGTAGGACATAGGACCAATAAGGACGCTAAACTGCCCACACCGGTTGAACGTCATTGGTTGGCCTAGTGTGAAGATTCGTATAAGTCGTATTCGGATTGGTAGATAAGTCGTGTGATCGAAAAGTCAGACATACAAGGTCATAACAATTGGCGACGGGTGGAGAAAAGTTTTGAACCCTCAGCTTCAAGGTCATAACAGGTCGATCTAGGAGGAATAATAGGAACTGAAGAGGAAGGTTGACTATGAATACAGTGGTCTTGAGTGCTGTTAGAGGTATGAGGGCAGTTATCACATCCCGGTCGCCGACACCGTGGAAGGATTCTTCTGGAGGTGCCTGAAAACAAAATTGGATTAAAGGTGGTCTTAGTGACCTGAGAGCGTAACCGCAGTGCCCAAGGGACAACTGCTTGAGGTCGGTCACACACAACCCTTTTGTGAGTAATTCTTGTGTTAGCTCCGTACTTGTTGAGACCTTACCGCCCGAGACGGATATCCGTGGGATAAGGTGAGGTGTGCATTTTTAGAGTCGACCTTTTCCAACCCCACCCCTCCTTGTGGGAAGGCAGCATCGCTGTCATGCTGGTTGTCTGAAGGAAACACCTTACTGCTGTCACACCTCTGTACAGTCAACAGTACGACTTCGCTTTTGGACCTTGTGTTTGTTGCTTTTAGTCTTACCGCTCATCAACCGTCCTGTCTGACATGGTAGGACCTTGAGGAACGGTTGTTTCAGCCAGTATAGCTCGGTTGCTTCATCACGATAGGGAAGCCCGACTACCACGTCAAGGTAGCAACAACGGTCGGGAGGTCCACTTATCGACTTAGAATACGCAGATGATATAGTCCTGTTTAGTGAAGACGCTGATAAAATACAGTCTTCTGGTAGCACTGGGTAACAATGACAGAATGTTTGGGATGCGTTGCTCGACATCTAAATACAAGTTGTTGCTTCAGGACTAGCCTGCGTCAACACCTGAACTAAGGATAGGGAGTGAAGTAGTCAAGGCGTTAGCAACTTCACCTATCTTGGAAGTCTGATCAGCCATAATGGGTTGGTGACTGACGAAATCTCAGCACGGATTCGAAGAGCTCGTTTGGCTTTTGCCAACTTACGTCACCTATGGCGAAGGCGAGATATCCATCTATCAATTAAAGTACGAGTATACTGCGTGGCAGTTCGTTCTGTTCTAGTTCACGGCTGGGAAACGTGGCCATTAAGAGTAGGAGATACTCGTAAGCTACTAGTATTTGACCACAGATGCCCTAGAAATGTTACTGGCGTCTGCTGGGATCATCGGGTAAGTAATAGTGAGGTTAGACCCAGGGTATTAGGGAATGATGGAGAATCAGTTGATGAGGTTATGAATCTTCATGGACTGAGATGGTTGGGCCACGTGTTGCGTATGCCTAAACTCCGATTATCACGACGTGCAATGCTAACCGGTGTTCGGGATAGTTGGAAGAAAGTTAGGGGCGGCCAAACCAAAACGTGGCATCAATGCTTAAAGTCACTAACTTCTAGTCTGAGCCATGTTGGTAGATACAGACTACTTGGTTGGAGTCGGCGTGACTATCGTAGCCAATGGTTGGAGACTGTTGGTGACATGGCTCAGAATCGATCACAATGGCGTAGGTGTATACACTATCTATCTTCCCTTAAACTAAGAGATTAAAATTGCTTCATATCTTTCTTTCTACGAACTAATTCTTTCTTCGTGTACTATATCCTTATTGCAATCTTTCTTTTATATATTACCACCTCTGAATTAACTAGTTTTATGAATCCGGTGTTCAACTTGTTGTGTTAATGAGGTATGGCAACTTGGACCGATGCATATATGTGCCTGGTCCTACGTTGTAGCTGACTGACTGACAATCATTTGGTCATCCGCTAAAACGGTATCACTTTGTACATGATTTGTTAATAATTTTGTAGGATAGTAATAGATTAACTAGGTAAACAACAAGCAATAGACTTTTAAAAAATAAAACAAAAGCCTATTAATCTCCTACCTTTATTGTTCTGGTCATTCATTATGCTTGGATCGGCTTCCATTTTTAAATAAGATTCACTAGTCGAATTACTTCTCGAGACGATAAAAAATTTCTTAATATCTTCAAGTAATAAGTATAACAATGGAGGAATAGAGGGAGATGGAGAGAGAGAAAGGCAGAATAAGAAAACATCACAGAAATAAGTAAATACTTTAAAGGTCAATAAACAACTGATATGAACACTTTGAAATATCAATTGGATAGATTAATATTTTCACATTTCAATTTATTTTATAAGTAAATTATAAGTAGTAAATAATTAGACAAATAATAGTGATAAATAATTCTGTTTTTTGAGATTAATTAACTTGAGTTTCAATTTGTTATTGTATGGATCTAGAGAATTTGTGTATGAACAAAAACGCTTGAACAACAAAATATTAGTAGTAATTGGATAGGTAAGGATGATTAGAAGTATATTGATTTTTTGTTTAATTTTATTAATTAGATGAAACTAAGATAGATTTACTATGTTAAAGAAGTATGCAATAACATAAATATTTAGTTATTTTATATTGGAAATTTCACCAAACAAATATTTGCAGTAAACAAGAGAAAATAAAAAAATGAAAAACTGATCAAGCAGCAATTACATTATTCTTTGTAGTTTGGAAAAAATTGATTAAAAGATACAACATTTATAATTAGTAATAATACGTTAGTTATAAATAAGACAATTCTACTGGCAGGTTCTTTTATAAATCACCAAAAATTCCAGCAAATGTTTTACGTAGGTTTTTCATAGTATCATCTGTATCTTCAGTGCTTGGTCCGGTACGTAATGAAGTTTGTCTTGGTGGGACATTTGGACGATCAAGTCCACTAGTTGTTTGACCTGTTGGTTTTCTACTTACATCATTACCAAGTTTTTCAGTACTATATGGTACATTAGAGCTAAATAAAAAATCAGCATAAAAGGAATAAACACTTATTTTCATAGAAAATATTGTCAATTAGCAAAGAACATATGATTTATTTAGCAGAGTGGATGTCATAAACTGTACATAAGTTTTTATATTTTGGATACAATTACGGTGGTTTTTCAGCAGAGATGGATAGTAGTCAGCAGTGGAATCCAGGATGAGTGTATCATACCATGCCAAAAGAAACTGATCAATTGTAGTCCTAAAAATCAACGGGAAGATCCAAACAACCAGTATAAATGAATTACGGTAGTTGTTTGTATTCAACTATATTCTACAGGTAAGCACTTAGTTGAAATGACTTTGAGTGGTTATAATCTAGCGTTTGATGTATATCCATTTCAGATGACTTTTCGTTTCAAAATCTCAAAGGTAGTTGGTTATAACTGCACCATCTGGTATAAGCTTCTTCTACATAAAGCACGTATTAAAGTCTTGATGTTTTATTCTAGTATAACTGTATTCGAGGCAACATCACTGTTATCAGTCACACGACTGCTTTTTGGGACTTCTGATCATATACTATTAACAGAATTTCAATATAAATTTAACTGAGAACTTAAAGTATATTTCGGAATATTGAAGGCCTTTATATCTGAGTTTAAAATTGATTTTCCTCTTGATTTCATTTCACTATACTTAGATGGCATCTAACATCAAATTTTAAAATATATGGAGTTTTATTCTTGGTATGAACGAACCAGTCATATGTAATGGTCTTGTCGAGAATAAAGAGTAATTGATTTGCGTTTGCGTCACGTTCGTCGACGTTAAGGAAGAATGTTAGATTGGAAAAGAAACAATAATTTAATGAATATCACTGATATGTGTATATGAACTCACTTGATGGGATGCTCCGGAAAAGGTGAATTCTTTTATATAATTGGGGAGGATCATTAAGAAGCGGAGAGGATCGGATGCGGATATCAAAGCATAAATCGGCAAAGCAAGGACAGTATTCCTACTAATGAAGAACATCCCTAACTCAAAATAACTGTCGTGCAGAACCAATGACAGAATTTTCAGCACTAGCATTAAACCAGTTCTATCGTATGAAGCTGAAACTTGATTAGCTATCACCACTATTATCAGAAGGGTACGGGTATTTATTAAAAACTTGTTAGAGGGATATAGATTGGATTAAAGCACGTTCCATGAAAGATTGTAATGGGTCGCACTGATTAGCTATTTCTTATCCAATCAACGCTAGTCGATACTTGGAGAAGACTCTAGGATCTTTTCATGTAAAAACTATAAATATACTAACGTTTCTCTTATTGTGATTCCTATTTACATATACCCTTGTTATTTGGAATATAATTTCGTTCCTGTTCAATCGTGTTCTGATTTGGTGACTTGTCGAGTGAATTTGTATCCAAGACTACTAAGCAATATGAATAGTTGGGTCGTAATAAGAGAAATTATAGCACAACTGTATACTGAACAGACGCTAGGTTCATTAGTCAGAGACCATCAGCAATAATATACTCTGAGAGAGAAAAAATCAGATGCTAGTTGAGGAGGAAATCGGGAAAAGAAGTTATAAATGTACAGAACACTTTTCATGGAAACCATCAAACTGGATCACAAGACAGACCGTAAGTTTGGATCATCAAGGCGAAAGGAAATGAGGCTGGCCACAGAATACATTGTGCCAGGAACCGAATACAAATACCTGGAGAATGAGTAACACTTAACAATAACTGTATAGGAGAGCTTAGCGCTTAGTTGCTTGGGGATGCCTGGTTGGTGACCTAGGTTCAATGAGAGGTTGCATGCTAATTAGGATAATCTATGGAAATTTTGGGAAAAACTCATGTTTCGTCAGAGTCTTTTATTATTTCGTGTAAAAACCATAAAACGAATGAACCTTAGTTCACAAAGTGCCACACTATTACTTACTGTATTATTGATGTTTTTAAAGGAAAATCACAAATTTTTTTGTTTCTTGATGTGAGAGTACAATTAAATTCGTAATCTGTGATCTAATTAATGGCTTTTGTTCCATTATGATATTAAAAAAGAGAAGACTTTGTGCCATCCCACTTTTATAACAAGCTAACTTTATGCAGGTGTTTCTATATAAGGTCTTAGTAAGACTCATGCATGACTCCTGGGTCATAGCAATATTACAGTCTAAGATGATTAGCTTTTTCTGGATCTCAATAAGGTTAATATTTTGCGTAAACATATACTTTATGGAAAAAATGTGATAAATATTGTTTGAACTTGAAACTTAAGATAGGTTGTATGTTCAAATAAAATGTTTAAAATAATATCTTGTTCTAAGGGGTGAGAGTTCAATGTCTTTAAAAGAAGATAAAACTTTATGTGAGGGTATAAAAATTGGGATGAATAGATTTGGTTTCACTTCATTCATCTGCATTTTAATTATTGTCAAAAGCTAGAAGACCAACCTGAAAGAAGATCCGAAAGATTGTTGAGGAGAACTCATCATCTTGGTTCCAGTAGTATGATCAGAAGCATCAAATCCTGCCGACGGTTGTTGATTCATTAGATTTGGTTTGTTAGTTGAATCCATTGGTGGTATTTTGGAAGGGCTAAATAAGCCAGATGAAGAACTTTGGTCCCATGTATGCGAAGAATAATTAGTGTGCGTTGTGTTTTGCATACTGGACAGTCCCCCGATATTTGAACGGTACCCAATGTCAGAATTTTCTGAAGCCGTACTGTGCCCTCGACTCGCTGCAGTTGTCACTGGTGTACTAAAAGAAGTT